TCCGGGTGTTTGAGCAATTAGTCAATCAATAAAACTCAACATCCGGATAATTGGTCAGTCAATAGAATTCAACACCCAGATAATTGGTCGTTCACTGAATATCCACTGAATATCCGCTGAATATCCGTTAAATATTAAATTTATTTAAAAAAAAATTTTTTATTCATCAGGAAAAATATAATGAATTTTTATTCATCAAGATTAAGAAAATATTTTCAACACACACATTGCATATAATGGGTTCGATTTTGTTCGTTTGGCTGTCATTAAAGAATGTAAGTGATAAAATATTATTTATATTAATTACGTGGATAAAATTTTTATTTTTTATATTCTGTACCACCAATTATTCACCAATTATTTGGTGAAAATTTTCAACACCCGATTAATTAATCAATGAAAAATTTCAATACCCAATTAACCGGATAATTGGTGAATAATCGGTGAATATCATACCACTAGTACTAGTAATAAATGGATCACGGCATAAGATCATCATAAATAACGATATTCTTATTTTTTTCCTTTTTGAAATATATATACCAATAATAATCACTCAATTCTATCCAATTAAATTCAATTAAAAATTCGAAGATATTTGTAAAACTAAAGGTAATATAAGAATGGTTGATGTTTTTTATGCAAGACATTTCCTTATTTGTATTTCTTTGGCCAAGATTGACAAGGTTTTTTATAACAAACTGAACACAGACCTTCCATCCAAACTTAAATTAATGTTAACAGGCTATGTGTAACATATAGCATTCCACTATGCTTAAATGAACTAGAGTAACATTCTTAAAACACTTACTCTCTAGCAACACCAGTACTATGTTCTTCTCTTTTTAATCTGCGTGGCATTATTTAATGTTAAGTTAAGTTTGGATGGAAAATCTGTGTTCAGTTTGTTATAAAAAACCTTGTCAATCTTGGCCAAAGAAATACAAATAAGGAAATATCTTGCATAAAAAACATCAACCATTCTTATATATATGTATATTACCTTTAGTTTTACAAATATATTCAAAGTTTTAATTAATAATTATTGTATATTTAAAAATGGAAAAAATTTGTGCTCCAATGTTTATAAAATCTCTTGAGCCAAATTTCACTTTTAATTGTACAATTATTATAAACCCTTCTTCTGAATAATCAAAACATAAAACTAATGTAAAAAAAAATTCTAATGATTACAAAAAAACATAATACACATGTAAAACTCGAAAAGTCAGTCATTATTTATGTTGATTGCATTGAGTTCACATTAAAATCCCTCATATAATTTCTTAGGCTTTAATTCATTTTGTTCAGTTTCATTTCTTTCTTCTAAATCTTTAATTTTATTCTCCAACTCATGTTTTTCTTCCAACACTTTATTTCTTTCACCAATTCTTTATTTCCTAATTCTTGTCTATTTCCCACAGGTTTTTTCTAACTTGCTATTTGTTTCCTCTAGCTCATGATTTTTTTCTTGATCATTATCATCACCATCATCATCATTATCACTATTGTCGCCATTGTTGTTATCATCTTATCTTTATCATTCACCATCTTTCACTCGTTTTTTCTCTTAAAAGACAATTGTTTTTTTCTTGTTTATCTGTACAACTAGTATTTGAAGTATTAAAATGTTCTGAATAAGTGAATAATTCAAATAAAATGAATAATTCAAATAGAATGAATAATTCAAATAGAATAATAGAATGAATAATAATAATTCGAATTAAAATAAGAATTTGTATTATGAATAGAAACTCTATGGATTTTATCCTGTTATGATGTGCAGTATTTTATTTTGCTTTTTGAGCAAATGTATGTTTTTTATCATTCTAAGTAATGCAGGTGGACCCATATTTCAACTAAATGTCTATGCCACTGAATTCTGCATTAAAATTCCAGATGTAAAAATGAATATCAAGAGAAATTTTTTTTAGCCAGCTAAGTCATTTAAAAATTCCTTATCCCTGGTTTTCTAATGATATGCAACAACAACATTTATCCAGTTCAAAAAGTAACTTCTGTTAATAATGATGAATGACAACAACAAAGCATTTATCCAATTCAAAAGGAAACTTCTTCTACTAAGAATAATGATGTGCAACAACAACAAAGCATTTATCCATTTCAAAATACAGCTAACAATGATGAATAACAACAACAAAGTGTTTATCAAGTCCAAAAGGCAACTTCTACTAATAATCAATATTACCATCAAAAAAATATTTAACCAGCTCCAGAAGTAGTTTTCATGAATGCTGATGAACATTATCATCAGCAAGAAGAACAAAATATTTATCCAGTTCCAAAGGTTGTTTTTCCTAATACTGACAAATATCATCAACAACAACAAAATAGTTATTAAGCTCCAATTGCTTTTCCTAGTACTGATGAACAACAAAATATTTATCCTGCAATTAAATCAATTTCCAAATCAACACCAGCAACAGCATGTTTTTGAACATAAAAATATTTTTTTAAAAAATAAAGAAAATAAAGATAGTCAATGAGTGACAGGAAAATAGAAATTTTAATTGCCTATCTGGATGAAAATTATAAGGATTGATCCTCTGGTAATAAAAACAATTTTATCAAGCTTTGGCATCATTCATTAATGATACTTACACAGATAATGAAGAAGTTGAGTAAATAAGCCCTCCCAAAAAAAAAGATGAATTGAAAAATAAAAAAACAAAAAAAATTAATTATGAAGCTCTTTCAGATTTAATGGTTTTGGTGAATCAATCTAAAGATAACTTCCTTGTTTAATTATTATCACCCAGCAATGATCTGCCCGCATTTTGATTTCAATTAAACACAATGCAAATTAAAAAAAGTACCTCTGGTTAGATATTAACACATCTTCTTTAGGAGGCTCGTATTTTGCCATCTTTGAAAAATAAATTGTTTTTCCAAGAAAAAAAAATCAATCAATTCACATCAACAAAAAAAACCAATAGGGGTTCCATACATAAATAATTAATGTGTACGCGTTTGTTGATCAAATAAATCTTTTTTTAATGTCTTTTATCAATGCCTCGCCAACAAAAACGAAACCACAGTAAAAAAATAGCCGATAACAATAGGTAAGTGTTTATCATAAGAATGGTGGTGGTGGTTATCGCCACTTGTTGTCATTCTAGTTAGTTATAAAAAGAAATAAAATAAAATTTACCTTTTGTACCTGTGATTGGGATTAGAGTTGGTAGGCGTTAGTTTTCTCAAATATCTTTACAATTAATAATGCCTTGCAATTAATGATTAAGGAAAGATAATCATGTGATTCTTCTCAAAAAATTTGAATGTTCTTTTCTAACAAAAGGTTAAAAAGCGTCTGCGTCCTCAGAATATTAGTAATAATAAAGAGAATAATTTAAAAAGGTTAGTTAGTTTTTGAAACAAATCAATATTTCATACCACACACAATAAATGAAATTTTTTTATATAAAATAGCACAAAGCCGCAAACAATTCAAAACAATCTGAAAAATCCAGTATTCAAAAATATTCTAAAGTCATAGCCGGAGTTAATGCCATAAGAATGAATGATAAAGCTGCTTATACTAAGTATGTACTTGTTTTTGTACATCTATATACCTACCCATATATCTTGTTTTACTGATTTTCATGCCTCTATAGTCCACTCTGGTGGGGTGTTGTTGATCTGAGAGAGGAGAAAGTAGCACCATCTCCAGATCTTCCTCATGCAAAACATTTCCATTCAGAAACTGAAGTAAATCGGGCTTCGACAACTGGCTACTGATATTGTCAAAGAAGAATCTTGCATCAACTCATCAGCTGTATACTTTCGGATGCACTTTTGGCATCACAAACAATCTGTCTCAAGACCTTGGCCAAAGAAAATGGAGCTCATGGGGTTGCAGGAGTTCGTGATATACTTGAGAAGGAACACGTATCAAAGGACTTTGATGCATATGATGACGATACAATATATATATTGGAAAGTGTTTGTCTGCAGCGTAGGTTCCTCTAGTATTATCATAATCATATGCTTCTAAACTATATAGATTTCAATGGTTTTTTTTACTTTGTTGTCTTGCGTGATATATAATTGTTGCAATTTAGAGATGAATGGGTTCGCTGTTATAATGGTACATCTGATTCAGAATGGACAGTGGATATTACCATTCTCAAAAACACCCGACACTATTTTTTTATAGTAAGAAAAATTATTTTTTGTTTTTTTCTATCATTTATTTTACCAGTAAATTTAATTATAACAATGGTAATTTGCCATATAGTGGAGAAATCAGCATGTGTCAATTCAGCATGCACTGGGACTATTATTTTTGGTAACAGCTGTTCAATCTTTTATGTTCATGGAGGCGTTAAATGCAAATACTTGATTTAATTTTTAACTACAGAGCAATAATAATCGAGAAATTGGGTTTGGTGAAAATAGTGTCCTAAAAAAAAAGATCATGACAAGCCCAAATCTAATTTTGTTGATCTAACTAGATGAATGCTTTATGAGAGTGACTTCGTCACTGGTGTTACTTGTTATTTACTGTTTTAAAGTCTCTATTCAAATAAAGGTTACTATTTGAATTATTTGTAATTGTTTGGTTGAATTACAAACAGAAATTTTATTAGAAAAATTTTTGATCTAATAAAAGTGTCCCGTTCACAACATATCAAATCTCAAACATCATGCATTGAAATAAGTGGTCGTAATTAGTGTTCCTAACCGAAAATCAAATTTTTTACGAATATTCGAAAATCAATTTATTCATAATTTATTTTGGATACTTGTATTTATTTTGAATATAATCCTACTATATAACAAGCATTTTTCAAAGATAATAAAAATAACAACATATATTTTTTACAACAATTAAAATATTTATTCAGAAAATATTTTCATTTAAAAAGTAATTCTTTCAAAACCCAAATGGAATTTGCAGAAAAATTTTCCGAATACTTCAATTGTATAAATCATTTTTAAAATGCCATAATATTCTTACACCTGATAAAAATGATATAATTTATTAATAATTTTTTGATAGAACAATCAAATTGATGATGTTCAAAAAGAAACTTTATCAATTAAATAAGAACAAGAAAAAATTAATAATAGTTTGTTAGAATTTATACAAATATCTGAAATAATGAGCATTCAAAATAATTACAAGTATCCAAAATAATTACGAATATCCGAAATGATATTCGAAATTTTGGATTTACGAATACTCGAATATGGAGTTATAATTACGGTTAGGAACCCTACCCTGATAAACTAAACCACGTTTCACATTCAAATTGGCAATCAAAGAACACCAGTGTTGACAATGATAGTTATTTAACTTTTGAACTGTCAGTTAAATAACTGGTTCAAAAGTTAAGTAACCAGTTCAAAAAATCATTTGAATTTATGAACTTTGGTTCAAATAAAATCTCATGACATAAATTGATTGATTCATGTGCACGAGTTTGTTTCTACCACTCACCTGTATCTTTTTATTGTAAAATATGATTTCCTACTAAGCTGTTACTCTGTGTACAGAATTGATAAATTTTTAAATCAAGGTGTAAATAGACATTGTTCTTTCCTAAAATCAAAGTTATTAACTCTGGATCCAGAAAACAGTACATATAATAATAATTTTTGATACTGTTTTCCATATTTGTAATGAACTTTGTCAAATAACTTGCAGATTGGTTAAATAACTGCTCAGCAAAATTCAGATAATCAGCAAGTTATTTAACTAATTAACAGTTCAAAAGTTCAAATAGTTCAAAAAAAGATTTGAACCAGTTAAATTGTCAATACTGAGGAACACTAATCAATATTCAGTTCCTATCTAAACCATTGCCTCTAATAATCTAACTCTCCAAACCCTGGTGAAAATAAACCCTAGTGATAATAATTATGCTCACAATAACTTGATTCATAACAGTTTTGTTAGCCAAAACTCTGTAGACAATAATTACGCTCATCAAGACATGATTCATAATAATTCTAATTATCAATATTATAGTAACAGTAATTTCCTTTATCAAAATAATCTTACAGTATTGTCAGTAATGATAATCTCATTGAACAAAGTTTGATTAATAATAATTCCCTGCGGAGCAGGGTTTTCAAGGAAAACCCTCTTTATATATCCTCTGTTATGGGAAATGACTGGTTATTTCCCAGTTCCACAAAGATCAATATAAACGTTTCTAATTGTACATAATACTATATTATTTATATTATTTGACTCTTCAACATCAACACATTCTTCTCTTAAAAATCCAAGGATTTTTATATTATATAATGATGAAAAATAATAATGATAAGAATTCAAGTAATGATAACAAGATTTATAATATCAGCAAATTCTGAAATTGAAGAGCCTAGCCAAGTGCAAAATACCTTATCAAACACAAATATGCGGATTCGGTGTTTAAAGAAAGGATTAGGCATCTTAGTGAGTACAGTCAATCCCTCTAAGTGCACTCTCTCTAAATGCACGCCATGTCTCATTCCCAAACTTATAGTGAGCTTATAAAATTACCCTCTCTAAATGCATGTCCATGAGAAATAGTGATATGTTCCCAAGGAGGGTGCATTTAGAGGTGTTGACTGTATTATTTTTAATTCAAGGAATCCATCCCATGTTCCGCTTAAGAGTGTGCCGGGAAAGCTGGACTAAATGAATGTAATCGTCTTAATTCTAAGATGGAAATGGAATTTTCATCTTTAAATTGAAAATCATCATTATTGTGTTTAGATAGATTTATATTGACATATGTATTTTATTTATATATAAACAGTGACCAAGAAATAATTGTATATTACTATTATTGAATTATTGAATTGATATGATTAGCGATGGGCGTTTTATTTATAAATTTTTTATAATAATATAACAAACTAACCACAGGTCCCCCGATTCCTCGACACCGTTATACCGACAGGACGTTTCACCGACAAGACGTTTTCTAATATATTCTATCAGTTTAGCATAATATTTCTTTGATTTCCTGCCATAGACATATTATGTCATTATCCGTTAATATTAAGAAATAACATATTAATTGCCGGTCCTTTTATAAACGGCAGAAAAATACTATTAAAATTTTGGGTAAAAAATTTGACGATCTACACAGTGAGTCTCGGTATAGCGGATAATTTGGGCAATTAGAACAAAAATTTCAAAAATCCGTTATACCGAGATTA